GCTGCCCAGGTCCCGGCTCTTTTTTTCGCCCCGCACGGACGCCGCCGCCGCCGCCGCCGCCGGCTTTCCGCGCCGCTAATCGGCCGCCGCGCGGTTTTTTGGCCCGGCTCTCCGGCTTGAATCTCGGTCGGCAAACGGAGACCCAGCGGGAAGGCGGAGCGGTGGCCGGCGATCATGGCGCTGCGGTCTTCACCGTCGTTCTTCACCGACGACTCCCCTCCCCCCGTACCCGAGGGCGTCGATGGCGCGGCCCGTCTGTGCGGCGATTACCGCCGTGCGGAGCGCTCCGTTTCCCCTGGGAATTCGGTGGGGGAGGGTGGGTGGGCGGTTTGGTCGGGCGGTTGATGAGCTTTCGCGGCCGAGTTTATTCACGTCGGCCGTTGTTCCGCGCCGCTCCCTCCCCTCCCGGCCGACTAACGAGCGGGAAGGTGGAGGGCGGGGGGGGGGGTGGCTGGAGACTGACAACGGCGTCCGCTGCCGGAGCGGCCGCATGCCCCCCCCGCGCGTCGATACCGGTGACGAACACACACAGATACAGTGAGGGAAAAAAGTATTTGATCCCCCTGCTGATTTTGTACGTTTGCCCACTGACAAAGAAATGATCAGTCTATAATTTTAATGGTAGGTTTATTTGAACAGTGAGAGACAGAATAACAACAACAAAATCCAGAAAAACGCATTTCAAAAATGTTATAAATTGATTTGCATTTTAATGAGGGAACTAAGTATTTGACCCCTCTGCAAAACATGACTTAGTACTTGGTGGCAACACCCTCGTTGGCAATCACAGAGGTCAGACGTTTCTTGTAGTTGGCCACCAGGTTTGCATACATCTCAGGAGGGATTTTGTCCCACTCCTCTTTGCAGATCTTCTCCAAGTCATTAAGGTTTCGAGGCTGACGTTTGGCAACTCGAATCTTTAGCTCCCTCCACAGATTTTCTATGGGATTAAGGTCTGGAGACTGGCTAGGCCACTCCAGGACCTTAATGTGCTTCTTCTTGAGCCACTCCTTTATTGCCTTGACCGTGTGTTTTGGGTCATTGTCATGCTGGAATACCCATCCACGACCCATTTTCAATGCCCTGGCTGAGGGAAGGAGGTTCTCACCCAAGTTTTGACGGTACATGGCCCCGTCCATCGTCCCTTTGATCCGGTGAAGTTGTCCTGCCCCCTTAGCAGAAAAACACCCCCAAAGCATAATGTTTCCACCTCCATGTTTGACGGTGGGGATGGTGTTCTTGGGGTCATAGGCAGCATTCCTCCTCCTCCAACACGGCAAGTTGAGTTGATGCCAAAGAGCTCCATTTTGGTTTCATCTGACCACAATACTTTCACCCAGTTGTCCTCTGAATCATTCAGATGTTCATTGGCAAACTTCATACGGGCATGTATATGTGCTTTCTTGAGCAGGGGGACCTTGCGGGCGCTGCAGGATTTCAGTACTTCATAGCGTAGTGTGTTACCAATTGTTTTCTTGGTGACTATAGTCCCAGCTGCCTTGAGATCATTGACAATATCCTCCCGTGTAGTTCTGGGCTGATTCCTCACCGTTCTCATGATCATTGCAACTCCACGAGGTGAGATCTTGCATGGAGCCCCAGGCCGATGGAGATTGACAGTTCTTTTGTTTTTCTTCCATTTGCGAATAATCGCACCAACTGTTGTCACCTTCTCACCAAGCTGCTTGGCAATGGTTTTGTAGCCCATTCCAGTTTTGTGTAGGTCTACAATCTTGTCCCTGACATCCTTGGAGAGCTCTTTGGTCTTGGCCATGGTGGAGAGTTTGGAACCTGATTGATTGCTTCTGTGGACAGGTGTCTTTTATACAGGTAACAAGCTGAGATTAGGAGCACTCCCTTTAAGAGTGTGCTTCTAATCTCAGCTCATTACCTGTATAAAAGACACCTGGGAGCCAGAAATCTTTCTGATTGAGAGGGGGTCAAATACTTATTTCCCTCATTAAAATGCAAATCAATTTATAACATTTTTGACATGTGTTTTTCTGGATGTTTTTGTCGTTATTCTGTCTCTCACTGTTCAAATAAACCTACCATTAAAATTATAGACTGATCATTTCTTTGTCAGTGGGCAAACGTACAAAATCAGCAGGGGATCAAATACTTTTTTTTTACCCTCACTGTAAATGTATATCTCATCCACCCCTTGGCGTGCCACAGTGCCAGCCTTCGTTGTTGCTACTGTCATACGGCGCTTGCCCCAACAGTCTGTTGAAGGCTATACGGCGGGGGGCGGGGTGGAGGGTTCTTTGTCCGTACGTGTGTGTGTCTGTATGCGTGAGTACGTGTGTGTGTGTGTTTGTATGTGTGAGTACGTGGGTGTATGTGAGTACGTGTGTGTGTTTGTATGTGTGAGTACGTGTGTGTATGCGAGTACGTGTGTGTGTTTGTATATGTTGAGTACGTGTGTGTGTGTTTGTATGTGTGAGTACGTGTGTGTATGTGAGTACGTGTGTGTATGTGAGTACGTTTGTGTGTCTGTCTGTATGTGTGAGTATGTGTGCACGTGTCTGTATGTGAGCACGTGTGTGTGTCTGTCTGTATGTGTGAGTACGTGTGTGTGTGTCTGTCTGTATGTGTGAGTACGTGTGTGTGTTAGTATGTGTGAGGAGCGGTAGTGTAACGGTTAGTACGCTGCGCTACGAAACCTGGTGGCCCAGGTTCGATTCCCGCTCACGGCCAACACCCAGTGGTGACGATTATCTGAACCGGTGCTGGGCCTCCCCTAGGTCAACTCAGCCTCAAATGAGTACCTGGTGCGATGTGTAAACATCGCCACTAGGGAGACAAAGGCGGCCGGGCGTGGTGTTGGCCACCCACCCCCTCGTGTGCCGTGCCGGCCTTTATAGGTGCTCGCTAACAACACTTGTCCCTACAGTCTGTGAAGGCTATATGGGGGATCTTTATCTTTGTACCTTGGTCACGAATGTCTCGCGTGAATCACTGGCAGCAGCGTGAATCACTGGCAGCAGCGTCGCCGCTCACTCCGTGTGTGTCTCTGTGCGTGTGGTGTCCAGTGTGTGTCTGTGTGTGTCTTTGTGTGTCTTTGTCTGTCTGTATGTGTGAGTACGTGTGTGTGTTTGTATATGTGAGTACGTGTGTGTATGTGAGTACGTGTGGGTGTCTGTCTGTATGTGTGAGTACGTGTGTGTGTGTGTATGTGAATACGTGTTTGTATGTGCGAGTACGTGTGTGGGTGTCTGTCTGTATGTGTGAGTACGTGTGTGTGTATGTGAGTACGTGTGTGTATGTGGGTACGTGTGTGGGTGTCTGTCTGTATGTGTGAGTACGTGTGTGTATGTGAGTACATGTGTGTGTGTGTATGTGAGTACGTGTGTGTATGTGAGTACGTGTGTATGTGGGTACGTGTGTGGGTGTCTGTCTGTATGTGTGAGTACGTGTGTGTATGTGAGTACGTGTGTGTGTATGTGAGTACGTGTGTGTATGTGAGTACGTGTGTATGTGGGTACGTGTGTGGGTGTCTGTCTGTATGTGTGAGTACGTGTGTATGTGGGTACGTGTGTGGGTGTCTGTCTGTATGTGTGAGTACGTGTGTGTGTTTGTATGTGCGAGTACGTGAGTGTGTACGTGAGTACGTGTGTGTGTGTGAGTGTCTGTATGTGTGAGTACGTGCGCGTGTGGGGAACGGTAGTGTCGCGGTCAGCGCTGCGCTCCTAAGCCGGCGACCCGAGTTCGATCCCCGCTCACGGCCAACACCGGGTGATGATTATCTGAACCGGTCTTGGACCCCTCCCCGAGTTCAACTCGGCCTCAAATGAGTACCTGGTGCTATGTGTAGTAAACATCGCCACTGGGGAGACAAAGGCGGCCGGGCGTGCTGCTGGCCACCCACCCCCTCGTGCGCCGTGAAGGCCCTCATAGGTGCGACCCGCTAGCAGCAGCGCTTGCGTTCAGGTTACACGTGGGATCTTTCTCTTTGTTTGTCTAATGGGGCGGGAGCGGCGAAGGAGTTGGTTGGCCACTGCGATACGACCCCAGCGACCCCGAATTCCCGTTTCCCAGCCACCGCTAGAATCGGGTGACGGGTGGCATCTGAGCCTTTGCCGGGCATTGTTACAGTTTTCAAACACCGGCACCTGGGGGGACGAAAGGTTGGGGCCGGGTGGGGCACCGGCCACCCCGCCCGTCTGTGTGGCGCGCGCGGGGCCTTGATAGGTGCTCGCCAACGGCACGATCCGTTGGAGGCTATACGGAGAATGTTGTTAGTATGTTGGGTGTGTGAGTGAGCGTGTGTGAGAGTGTGAATGAGTGAGTGTGTGCGAGCGAGTGTGTGAGAGTGTGAATGAGTGAGTGTGAGTGAGCGAGAGTGCGAATGAGTGAGCGTGTGAGTGAACGAGTGTGTGAGCGAGTGAGCGGGTGTGTGAGCGAGTGATTCGGTGTGTGAGCGAATGAGTGAGTGACTGTGAGACTGTAAGTGTGCGAGTGTGTCAGCGTGTGAGTTTGAGTGTGTGAACGTGTGTGAGTGACTGTGTGAGTGAGTGTGTGTGTATGTGAGCAAGTGTGAGCGAGTGAGTGTGTGAGCGAGTGTGTGTGAGCGAGTGAGTGAGTGACTGTGTGAGTGTGTGTGTGTTTGAGTGAGTGTGTGTGTGTGAGCGAGCGAGCATGTGAGTGAGTGACTGTGTGAGTGTGTGTGAGTGAGTGAGTGACTGTGTGAGTGTGTGTGTGTTTGAGTGAGTGTGTGTGTATGTGAGCGAGTGCGAGCGAGTGAGTGTGAGTGAGTGTGTGTGTGTATGTGAGCGAGTGCGAGCGAGTGAGTGTGAGTGAGTGTGTGTGTGTATGTGAGCGAGTGCGAGCGAGTGTGTGAGTGAGTGTGTGTGTATGTGAGCGAGCGAGTGAGGGTGAGTGTGTGTGTATGTGAGCGAGCGTGTGAGTGAGTGTGTGTGTATGTGAGCGAGTGAGGGTGAGTGTGTGTGTATGTGAGCGGGCGAGCGTGTGAGTGAGCGGGATTGCGAACCTGCCAGCCGCCCTGACCCACCGCCGCTGTCGACGGGATTCCTCGTCGCCACCGTCGTCTGACGAGGGAGAACCACCCTCACTCCTCCTCCACCTCCTCCCCACCCACCTCACCGATCCCGCACAGCAGCCGCGCCAGCGCGCCTCCCGGCTCCGTCCGGCCCCCCGGCGCCGTCTCCGCCGGCCGTCCCCGCGGGCTCGGCGCGCGGGCGCAAGCGGCAGCAGCCGACGGAGACGCCGGCGCGCGCCGCGGCGCCGGCCCGCACGCCCGACGCGGCCCCGGCATTGAAGCGGGCCAAGCGCGCCGTGCTGCAGGACCCCGAGCGCCAGCACGACGCCGGCGGCGTCCGGGGGAAGGCGCCGGCGACGCGGCGAGCGGACGCCGAGAGCGACGCGGAGGACGGCGTCTACCCGCTGCGGCCGGAGCTCGACACGAGCGGCTGCGGCGGCGGAGCCGCCCCGAACGTCGCCTCCGAGGGGGGCGGGAGGGCACCGCTCGACACGACGATGACGCTGGGCGGCGGCGACGACGAGATGGACGCGGAGCGGGGCCCGGGCGGCGATGGTCTGCCGCGGTTGGGCACCGGCATCCTGCGCCGGTGAGCCAACGGCGCGGGCAGCAGCGCCATCGTCGTGTGGGTGGGTGGGTGGGTGAGTAGGTGGGGTGAGTAGGTTGTGAGTGGGTGGGTGGGTGGGTGAGTAGGTGGGGTGAGTAGGTTGTGAGTGGGTGGGTGTGCGGGTGGGTGAATAGGTGGGTTAGTAGGTGGGTGGGTATGTGTATGGGTGGGTGAGTAGGTGGATGAGTAGGTGGGTGTATGGAGGGGTGGGTGGGTGGGCGTGTGGCTGGGCGTGTGGGTTTTGTGGGTGTGCGGGTGAGTGTGCGGGTGGGTGAGTAGGTGGGTGAGTAGGTGGGCGAGTAGGTGGGTGGGTATGTGTATGGGTGGGTGGGTATGTGTATGGGTGGGTGGGTATGTGTATGGGTGGGTGGGTGAGTAGGTGGGTGAGTAGGTGGGTGTATGGATGGGTGGGTGGGTGGTTCAGGGAGCGTGTTGTTGTGACCTGCAGCGTGCAGGATGAGTTGACCAAGTGTCTGGCGGGGGGGGGAGGTGGGGTTGGTGGTGAGAATCCGACGAGTAACCACAGCAGTAGTCGTAGAAGAGTGGTAAGGAGTTGACTGCGCGTGGGTCAGCGAGTGGCTGGAGTCAACCGTCGTGATCAAAATGAAACGCGGGTTTTCCTCTTCGCATTCGGGAACCCCTCGCCTAAAAAAACCCCTCCGGGCGCAAACTTGCGTTGCCGCCTTGAATCTTCGACAAGGAATCGTCTAAACGCTCGCCTCTCCTCCAACCCTACGGAGGGCGGTCCCCCCCCATCCCCCCGTAACGAAATCACTTGGCCTCGACCGGCGTCGGCGCGGGCCCAGGCTCTTATGACGTCTTCCGCGGGTCTCCCGCCCCCCCCCCCCCCCCCCGCAGGCTGAGGCTGCCGGTGCTGGGAGAGGCCGAGGGGAACTCCTCCCAAAGCGCCAGGAACATCAGCAGCATCGGCAACATCAGCAGCATCAGCAATAGCAGTATCAGCAGTAGCAGCAGCAGCAGCAGTAAGCCGGGCTACATGGCGCTGACCACGGCCGCCCAGGGCAAGCGGATGCAGAGCAGCAGGTGCTGCAACTCTCCTCCAGCCGTCCCGTTCCCTCGTCTCCCCCCACCGCGTCTCCCCCCGCCTCTCCCCCACCGTGTCTCCCCCACCTCTCTCCCCACCTCTCCCCCCGCCTCTCCCCCCACCTCTCCCCCCACCGCATCTCCCCCCGCCTCTCCCCCCGCGTCTCCCCCCGCGTCTCCCCCCGCCTCTCCCCCCGCGTCTCCTCCCGCGTCTCCCCCCGCGTCTCCCCCCACCTCTCCCCCCGCGTCTCCCCCCACCTCTCCCCCCACCGCGTCTCCCCCCACCTCTCCCCCCACCGCGTCTCCCTTTCACGTCCCCAGCTTCCCACCTCTTCCCCCCTCCCTTACCCCTGCGTGCCGCCGCCCCCCCCCCCCCCCCCCCCCACGCGCGTCTCCGCCTCATCTGCCCCCCTCCCCTCCCTCTACTCGCCCCCCCCCCCCCCCGCCCCCCCCCGCGCGCCTCTCGTCTCGCCCAGGTCCGCGTCGATGTTGGTGCTACGGGAGACGAACCACGCCCTGCGCGACGTCTCCGCCGCAGCCCAGCGCATCCCCGTCGAGACGCAGCCAGCCAAACAGCCCCTGCGTCTCTTCAAGTTTAGCGGTGCGGCGGGCTGACGGCCCCGGGGGAGGGGGGGGGGGGTGTGTGAGGGGGAGGGGGGGTGGTGTGGGGGGGGGTTTGGGTCAGGTGGCTTCCAGGAACCGTAATCGCCACGTCGGAGACACTGAGCCGGCACTGCCGAGAAGCCTGGCTTCCTTTTCCGGGGTTGCCGGCGATTAGAAACCGGGTCCTCGAGTGTAGAGAACCCCGTAGACTATCAGAGACCCACAGACCCTCATAGAGACCCACAGACCCACACAGAGACCCACAGACCCTCATAGAGACCCACAGACCCGCACAGAGACCCACAGACCCTCATAGAGACCCACGGACTCGCAGAGAGACCCACAGACTCGCACAGAGACCCAAAGACCCGCAGAGACCCACAGATTCGCACAGAGACCCACAGGCCCTCACAGAGACCCACAGACTCGCACAGAGACCCACAGACCCTCATAGAGACCCACGGACTCGCAGAGAGACGAACAGACTCGCACAGAGACCCACAGGCCCTCACAGAGACCCACAGACCCGCAGTGCTGCGAGTTGATGGGTTCAGCCTGGTCACCAGTGACTGCACATAAATAAATAAAACCCATCGACGTCAGCTTTGGGTTTTCACTGAATGTGAATAAATTCCAGGTGTGAGGGTGAACCACTGCTTTGATTGACAAGCCACGGGCAAATGGTGCGCATTGAGTAGCCGTGTTCTCCAGCCAGGGCCGGTATCCTCCACCGCTCGCTCGCTCACTCACCTGCTCACTCACCTGCTCACTCTCTCACTCACCCGCTCGCTCACTCACCTGCTCAGTCTCTCACTCAGCCGCTCATCCGCTCGCTCACCTGCTCACTCACCTGCTCAGTCGCCCACTCGCCTGCCCGCTCACTCACCTTCTCACCCACTCACTCACTTGCTCGTTCACTCACCTGCTCACTCACCTACTCACTCTCTCACTCGCCCGCTCGCTCGCTCACTCACCTGCTCACCCGCGCACGCAACGCTCCACTCGTGCGATCCTCCCGCTAACGACCGCCGTTCCCCCCTCGTCCCCCCACCCTCACCACCGTGCCCCCCCCCCCGGCTTACTGCAGGCATCGGTGCCCCGGCGCCCGGCGCTCCGAGCACGCTGTCCCGGAGCCGCTCCGTGGGCAGCCTGGCGGTGCCGAACCACAGCCGGCGGAAGCCGTCCTCCTTCCTCTTCAGCCTGCAGAGGCGCGGCAAGACCACCAAGTGACGGCTTCGCCCGCCCGCCCGCTCGTCCGCCGTTCCCCGTGCGCCCCGGTTGTTGGAACGGCGCGGAAGCGGCGGCCGGTCGTCTCGGCACGAGAGCTCGCACAGCCGTGCGTGCTCGCGTGCTCGCCATCCGCCCACTAACCCACCCACTAACCCACCCACTAACCCACCCACCTACAGACCTACGGCCTACTAACTCACCCACCCACCGCCCACTTACTCACCTACAGACCCCCACACCGCCCACCAACTCCCCCCCCCACCGACCTACAGACCTACGGCCCATTAACTCACCCACCCACCGCCCACTAACCCGCCCACCCACCTACAGACCCACCGCACACTAACTCAGCCACCCACCCACCTACCCACCCACCGCCCACCAACTCCGCCACCCACGGCCCCACTGACTCAACGCAGCCCGGTGATGCCCTACGTGACGCCTGGGCCGGCGCCGTCCGTAAATGGGACACGGGGCACAGTGACGGGGGGGGGGAGAGGGGGTGGGGGGGGGGGGGTAACCGCTTGGTTGTGTGGGTGGAGCGTTGCATCGGGGACCCCCCCCCCCCCCGCGCTCCGCGCCGCTGATGATTGGCAGAGTCGTAGAAGCCCAACACTGGGCCTTGTGATGTCGTCGCTTGTGTGGGGTGGGCACGGGAAGGTGGTGGGGGAGGGGGGGAACTCCCCCGCCCACCCCCCCCCCCCCCCGCCATGTGACTGGACTTTTAGCCCCCGCGTGTCTCGTCTTGCCGCGAGTCTCCCCCCGAGTCTCCCCCCGAGTCCCCCCCGAGTCCCCCCCCGAGTCCCCCCCCGAGTCTCCCTCACCCCCAACGTTTACACGTCGACCCTCGCCGCGCTCGCCCCCCGGAGGCCGGGGAGGACTTGGCGGTCCTGGCCACGCCGCTGGCGTGCGATCTCTCGCGCGCCCGCAGGTTGTGCCATGCCAGTGCCCCCCCCCCCCCCACCGCCTTCAACCGCGGCGACGCTCGAAGATCCTCCGCCATTCCGTGTTCGCTGACCCGCCGCCACCGCCCCCCCCCCCCCCCGTCTCGCCGGTTTCATCCCCCCCCCCCCCTTCCCTGGGCCGCTGCTCGTTCTGCAGGCACGGGGGGAACATTTTACCAGTCGGCATCTGGAATATATATATAGAGATATTTAGACACACACACACACACTCTCGAATTGTATTGCCTCCTCCACCCACCAAGTGTGTCGCGCCGAATCCCCCCTCCGGGTTCCTTCCGCCCCGCCCCCCCCCGCCGCGCTTTGCCGTCGCGGCAGTCAGGTGACATGGGACGAACCACTCGCTCGCAACGCTCGCAACGCTCACAACACTCACAACGCTCGCAACGCTCGCAACGCTCGCAACGCTCGCAACGCTCGCAACGCTCGCAACGCTCACAACGCTCACAACGCTCACAACGCTCACAACGCTCACAACGCTCGCAACGCTCGCAACGCTCACAACACTCACAACGCTCACAACACTCGCAACGCTCGCAACGCTCGCGACAGCGGTGGCGGCGGCAGACTGTGGGGTGCGCCGCTGACAGACGGCGACCGCTTCACG